TCGGTGACTCCCTTATAACGGATTTCAGGGGCTTTCATACCCCTGGGCAGTTGAGCTTTCATCACTCTGGCAGTAAAGGGAGAAATTATCTCTACTGTGGGTCCGAAAGACCCGTCCTTGTCAACCTGCCTCTTTAGTTCCTCCATTTCTTTTCTCAATTTGAGGATGTCTCCGGCATCTTCATTGCCGTGCCCCCCAGAATTTTCTCCAGATTCCTCAGTTCTGGGTCCCAACCTTTGGGACGCATTTTTGCGCATCCTCTTATGTACTGATATGCGCCCTTGACTTTCCACCTCCTCATCCTCTCCTTGACCTGTTTCTCTCCCGGTCCCTTGGGACCGGGCCTCTCCTTCCTTGTTGAGCCATCCGATTAACTTTCGGACTATGGGGGAGTTGGCGTCGAATTTTTCTGTTGCTGCATGGGAATCCTTTGGATGAGAACTCTTAGGGGCTTTAGAGTGGAAACTGCGTTCACAAGATTTGTCTTGTGTTTCACGCCTGGATTGGGAGAGAGTTATTTGGTGTCTGAGGTCCTCAGATGAAAGCTTCTCTTTCCCTTCCAAGTTGGTTCGCGCCTTAGCAGCAATTTTGTTCCTCTTGGACCGATTTTTGCCCATGGTAACAGTTGGAAACCTTCTCTTGATAAAAAAGACGGACCAACGGGAGATAGCGGCCCCTGAGCAAGAAATCGGTCCTCCTGTATGACCGGCTGATAAATGCGGTCCTCTGTGGAAGATCAGTCCTCCTTTCACTCTCTTTTTTTTTTTTGAACAGTGGACCGACTAAAAGGAGGAGTCCTTCTGGGTGAACCGCGAACTTATCTCCTTCACTTGGAATGGACCGCTAATTCTCCCCAGGTCTAGGAAGAGGTCTTTCCGAGTGAACAAGAGTGAGATAGGCTCGCTATCAACTCCCCAGAAGGTTAGGAAGCTTCAAACGGTCCCACGGTCGGCGCCAGTGATGGATACCCAATATTTTCCCAAGGACTATAGATCGGCCCAGGTCCAAATATAGGTATCCAGGCCTTATAATATTGAAAGATAATACGAGAATAATAATTAATAGTAATGGAAGCACTGCTCACTGGATAATAACTCAAACCGGCGGTCCTCTCCTTTATTCGGTCCTCTTAGGAACGGAATATGCTTAAGGATCGCCGGAATATCTTTTATTATTTACTCAAGTATTTTTCTCTCTCTATTACAAGATGATCCTTTACTCCCCAAGTCCCTCTTTCTTTTATAGGCACTCCCCATCCATTATCCTCTTCAATAATGGCAGTGATTGGGGGAATATTCGTGCCAGCCTTACTCCTTCTGGGGGGATGTATCTCAGCTTGAAGCCGTCTACTGGAGGACAAGCCTGCCCGTCCATGTCTTGCTCCTTGTCCGTCCCTTTCTCCTCGTCCTTGTCCCTTCAATTAGGGGGGAGGACTACTCTAGACTCTTCCATAGGATTCCTTTCCTTTTGGGGTAGCTTATTCTTAGTGGGCTGGGCTTCAGCCCATTCTTAAGCCCCCAGTCCTTTTCCTTTTTCCTATCTTTCCTCACGGATAACTTCCTTTGACCGGCCCGGTACATTTTACCTGGGCCGGATGCTCCTTTTGATGGACGGGCTCCGAATTGGGCCTAGGCCCAATTCGCCGATATTCTCTCGATGGGCTTGGTTCCCATCAAAATTAATTAGAAGGGTGATATTGATTAAGTGAGAATAATGATTAAATAAGTTCATTGACTAACAGTCTATAAAAATATCATTAAAATGAGAGATATCTTCGCAATCTTCTTTGTTAAATTTAGAGTAATTTTTCAAAATTGAACCTTTCAAATTAGATTTTTTTCCAAATTGCTCTATTTTAAAAAAAAAACTAGTTAAATATGCAAAATATTCTTAAATTTTCTAGTATGAGAATATATTAAATAAAACTAGAAAGATATTTACAGTTTTATAAATATGGAAGTAACATTTCCGATATGTTTAAAATTATTTGGAATGTTTATCATGTAAATAAAATTTTAATTTGTATGTATAATTGAAAATTGAAAATATTATATTACGGAGAAAATATTATATTACGGAGTAGTTTGGAAAGTTTTTTTCCAAACTAATATAATTGAAAGTGAAAATTTGTACTAAATAACAGTAAAACATATGTCAATTCTCAATTTAGTACTTAAAATTTTTTACTCCGTAAATAGTACTTGAATAATGTCTAGTTACGGGAATAATGTTCAGTGATGTTGAAAATTTAGTTTGAACAATGTCCAGTGGCGATAATTATTTACTTGAACCATGACTAATGAACAATGATTAAAGGTACCACATTGAAAAATAAAAATATACAATACTACTTTGGAAATTAAAATTAGTTTAAAATTAAAATAATATAGTTTAAAATTAAAATAATATATATTATATAAATTAAAAACATACATGAGAAGTTTTACAAAAGAAGTGATGACAAAATTACTTTATATAATGAAATATTTCGGGACAAAAGGATTATTATGAAATGAGATTCAATTTGTTGACCTATAAAAATTTTAGTGTGAAAAATAAACTCAAACTAGGATATCCCAAACAAGACTCCTTTAAAATAGAGAAATGATATTTGAACTCTTTTTGCTATTGGCACACGAAAATATTCCATTGCCCCTTCTCACATTATACTCCGTATTTTGAAGTGCCAATAACATAGAATAAAATGCAAATATATCATTCAACATGAGGCAAACAGTTTCTACCATGTCCCAGTGTATTTGTTCAATTAGATTTTTTTAGTCAAACTGAACAAATTTTAAACTACAATTACTCTTAATTTGTATTGCTAATTAGTATAATGAGATAAGTTTTAAAAGTTCTCAATACGATAAATTTAATAAAGTCATTCGTATATTAAAATACATTACGATTTTTATTTAATTTTAGCTCAAGATTTGTCCAATTTGATTCGAAAAAGTCAAATTAGACAAATACGTGTACTTGAAAATATTTTTGAAAAGGTAAGGTGAAAGTTGGGATCACACAACAATGACACTGCCCAAATAAATGAACTTCCAAAAAAAAGGAATCATGGCCAAAACTCACAACAGGATTCTCCCCCAAGAAATTACATACCAAGATTAGTAGCATTACCAAATTAAATATAACTAAAAAATGAAGAATAATTACAATGCTCGGGCGCGCGAAGGGTGCCCGAGCAATATGCAGGGGAACACCCCTCGTCTCACATTACATAAACAAAACCAGACTGATTAAAGATAAATTGCAGCAGCATTTCTAAGCGTCTCCTCTATGGTAAAATCATCTACAAATGGAAAATGGTGAAATTTAAACTCTTCATTCACTACTTACTGCATCCACTTCTTTATCCCACCAACAAAAAAGAATCTGTAACCCATAGAGGATTCTTACCATCAACATGTCATATAATAATAACAACTACTAGGTATAATAATAATTAGAATGATAATACTAATAATACTAAATATAAAATGAAAAGCACTGCAAGTTGCCAGAGAATTGTTTCATTGATGGATATTTTTACACTAACACAACTAATGACACCAAGGTTGACATCACAAGTCTCTCAAACACAATAATGCACAAACAATAATCTTTGTCTCTCGCAGACTCACACACATAATGAGGTAAGTCCATTGATTGTAATAGTGAGCGCCAACATATTAGACTTTTAGATATCCAAGATCCCTTTTATACCATATCACTTTGGTAAGAGTTAATTTGGTTGGAACGGTTAAGATAATGAAATGAGTCTCCCACTGCGCTGAATTTTCTGGGAGGGAAAGCCTTTGGTAACACATTTCAAACATATAGTATTTTTTTTTTTTTGAGAAAATTCAGCCACATAATTATGTCAAATGGTATTTACTCTCCTAATTTGGCTAATTATTGCTACTAAACGGAGCGTAATACATCCTATAAGTCCAAGAATTAAACCAAACCGAAACAAATAAGCCCCCTCCAGGCTCCAACTACTGGATATTCTAGTAGGGTACCCAAAAATAAACCAAGCCAAACCAAAACAAACAAAAAGCATAGTGTGAATGTGTGATTGCAAAAGCTAATAATAATAAATAAAAGGTTGTTAATATCACACCTTAATTATCAGAACATGCATTGGAGAGCACAAGTCCACGGAGCAATCCTTCCTTCAGAGATTTAGGAGTGTATCTATTGGGTATAGAGATAAAAGGAACAATGGTCAGAGATGAATAAGCCCAGTACCCAAGGAGAGCAAGGACTAGATTTTAATATTTAGATGAAACATAAATGATGAATATTTGAAGTATAAAAACGGCGTCAAATGAAAAGAAAAGTTGTGCAGCACAGTATATGAACATAGTACTACCTACCAGCTTTGCACAACAATAACATGAACAAAGGTATTTAAATGGGGTATATATTGGACATAAAATTTAGTAATCCAAAGCTTGAGTTTTGGAATTCCAAGTGAACTTAAAGCCTCTAACTTTATAAGCAACATTATCAATCACATATATGTGATGGATTTGATGAGCCAGCTTTAAAATTTCTAAACGGAGAACTTAAATACTCTGTATTTATTTAAAGATTGAGGAAGATTATCTGTTGTTACATGTTAGATGCTTGAATGCCGGATAATACTCAGGAAATGAAAAAAAATGCTAAGGAAAAATATTCAGTTTTACCTTAGATAGTATAATAGAAAATGAAGTGCAAATATTTAAAAATGTGTTACTAATATTATATTTATCCATGTTTATCCGATAGAAATAAAGAAAATTAAAATAAATTTGAACAAATACTCTGTATCTTAATAATTTTGTTAGTCTGAATGTATCTTTCATTTTTCTTTCAACTTTGATCTCTGTTAACCTTCATAATTTATTTCCCTAGTACTTTCCAGGTTCCATAAGGGATTGCACATTGATATAAACAGCTTGTACTAAACAACAGTGTGTGATGTTGACAATGTTTACAAAAAACAGTAAACTTAATACTGTATTAATTGACTGCAAAAGGTTCACAGCATACCTGTCTGGATCAGACATCACGCTTTGGTTTCACCCCAGTCACAATCTGGAAAATCCGCAGGCCTCTGCTAAAAGCATCATTGAATAGGATCCTTGTCTGCATGGGTTGGAATCCAGGCAGCCATGACAAGAGTGCCACAGGTATCAACACAATCACTCCAATCATGATTTCATACAATCTTGCCACTGCGACAACTGTCCCCCACATAAAAGTGTTTTGCAGTAGGGGGCGTAGCACTTGTGCAAAAGAGAGTAGACCCCACCCAGTGGGAACAAAGGCGAGAAGACTAGTGAATATATCCACAAATTTGAAATCCGTGAACTGGAGCAAGGCAACTACTAATATTATGATAAGAATGATAACAAGGAACTGAACCAGACGGTAGTATATGTGTTCTCTTGCAGCATACTTGTCACGGGCAGAAGCTATAATGGTGTAAATCCCAATGGCCACTACCACATAAATCCACGAAAGCAAGTAAACCGCAATGCTTTTGCTTCCGGAAGCAATTCCTAACTGATACACAATTCCATACTGGAAAAAGAAAAAGCGGAGGTCTAGAATCATTTCCAGTATCTTCCCCCACAGACCTGTCGTTCTTAAATGATCCTGCTCTTCATCCCACCATTTTTCCCAACACTGTTCAGTTTTTGCAAAAACACCACCTCGGTACCATACCCAGTTCATAAACTCGTCAAAATCATACACCGTTTTCAACCAATCAAAACCAGAAGGATTGAACACGAAAGGACCCAAGATCCACGAGA